GACCTGGGGCTTTCACTAGATTGGGTTACTAATTTCCACTGTTCATAGAAAACTTGAGAGAGGAGGATGATTATCGACGAGCAATTGGTAGCTAGGATGTCAAGGGCTTTAAAGAATGGGGGCTGGTGAGTCTAAAGATGGTGATGGAGGCGATTTCTGATGGGTGAAACGACCAAAAATTGCAAAAATGCGGGGCAGCTTGCCGGTGATTAAGGATGGCAATCGACGAGCAATTGGTGGCTAAGATGTTGGGGGTTTTGAAGAGGAAGGTCTAGTGAATCTAAAGGTGGCAATAGAGGCAATTTATGGTGAATGAAACAACCGAAAATCGCAAAAATCGTGCGGTGGCAACAACGAATGTTGTCAGCGATTATTGAGGTGAACAGAGATGGGGTGAGATGGATTTTAGTCAGGAGATTGAGGGGGTGTTTTTGATAGAATTTGAGGTGAGCTTGACTCCCTACCTCAGGAGTTAAGTCCACCTCAAATTCCATCATATAAGTCAGACCCACCTTAAATTCTATCATGGCATTAGAGCTCAGATTCAGTTGAGCTGAGTGCTTGATCAGCGGGTGAGGAGTTAGATCCAACAACTACCTCCATCAATAGACATGACCTAACATATGAGTTTGATCGTAAGGGGGAGTGTTGAAGTCCCACACCGACTAGGCACGCTCAAGTCTAGTGAGTTATAAGAAGGGGTAATCCTCCCATTTAACAAGACTTATTGGGTGAGAAGACAGGTCTACTTCAAATTCCATCAGTTTTCGTGGTGATGGAGAGTGTTATCGATGTCGAAAACAAGTCGTTTTTGGCTTGGGTTGTCAATCGCCGATTTGCATTTGGGTTTTTTTCTAGGACTTCAAACTTATAGAGACTTATAAATTTTTAGGGGTTTTTTTTGTTAGATTTAAAACTTTTTTACATGCTAACATCACCGGTTTGACCCACAGATTCAACTGGTCAACAAAGGACCCAACCACTTTGTCGGTTTCCCCCGGGCTGGGTTTTAAAGGTTGCCATTTTCTTTTTTGTTTCTTTATATACTTAAATTAATGTAAATGGAAGATGAAAGGAAAAAAGTAAATTATGGCGAGAATGTGGAAGCAACTTGTTGTATTAAAAGGAAAGGTAAAGGAAAGTGAGAAGCGTCACAGTGCGTATTTTGCATCACGTTTTGAACCCGAAAGTCCATGCATGACTCAAGACTTGTCTTCTCTATCTAATTATATTAGTAAACTCTTACTTTGCTGTTGCACGTGAAGGACCAAGGAACCATCCTCCACGTGAAACTAAATTAATTAAAATCCCAATGTTGAATTAATTATTTAGTAGCTTTTACAGTCAATTGTGTTACAGCTAATTTTATGGTTTTGACTGAAGACTCAAGTTTACCAATCAAGACTGGAAGAGTAAAGCGAGGACTGAGGACTTCTGCTTTTCTGTGATCTGCTGTGAAACTTCCCTACATTTTGTTCTTTGACTTCCCGTCCCTCAGTTTTAGTAAAACAAACAGCACTCAACTTGTATACTTTTCGTTTTTATTTTATTAAAATAAAAAAAGATAAAATAAAATAAAACTTGGTAATTGAGCAACGTGAACCAAAGTTACAAATTAATTAGGATTAATAAATTATTAAGAGAGATTTACTCGTGGTGGACACCAGAAGGACTGTGGCATATTATTATCAACAATGCTATAGACACCGGCGTTTTTACACCAAAATTTTATACCAGTTTATGTGGCTGCTGACTCAGACCATTCAACGTGTTTTACGTTAATAATTTTTTTCTAATGAATAGTTATGGACGGCCGTTTATTAACATAGACTCATGTCCATATTATATGGAAGGGAGTCTATTTACCACGGATAGACATCCTTATTTAAAGGACGCTCGTCCATTGGTAAATGAAATAAAAAATATTAAAAAAATTAGGGACGGCCGTTCATAGGTTATGAACGGTCGTCCATACATATTGGACGGACGTCCGCAAATAAGGGACACCCGTCCTTTTTTTAAAATATAAAAATTTTAAAAAAATCTAGGACGCCGGTCCACAAATTGTGGACGGGCGTCCATAATGTGTGGACGGACGTCCGTATAGAATGGATGCCCATCCATAAATTATGGACGGGCGTCCCCTAAGTATGGACGGCCATCCATGAGGAATGGACGCCCGTCCATATTTAATGGACGGGCATCCATTCTTCATGGACGACCGTCCATACTTAATGGACGGGCGTCCATTCCTCATGGACATCCGTCTATACTTAAGGGACGCCCGTCCATAATTTATCGTCCATTCCTCATGGACAACCGTCCATACTTAAGGGAAGCCCATCCATAATTTATGGACGGACGTCCATTCTATATGGATGTCTGTCCACACATTATACAAATTTTTGTATATAAATTGATGTGGTAAAACTATTTTATTATCACATTATTTTTTTTAAATTAGTATTTATTGAATTAATTTTATATACAAATTCATATATTCACTTTGTGATACATCAATTTGTAGAAATTGTATAAGAAATATGTACAAAAATTTTATATATCTAATATCATTCGTATTGTTATTCGTTTGGTTGAAATATCTGCATTTGTTACGGTGATAGCATTTCTTAAGTAAAAATATTTTGCTATCATGCTATGATGACAGTGATGATTGAGTATATTAATTGATGATAATTTGAATATATATTCAATGCTATATGATGGACGACTGTCCAAACTATGATGGACTGGCGTCCATGTATATGGACGCCCGTCCATATAGATGGATGCCCGTCCAACAAATTTGGACGGGCGTCCATTTTTTTTTTTTTTTAAAAAAACAACCCAACTTTTTATGGACGGTCGTCCATAATACTATGAACGACCGTCCGAGATATATGAATGACCATCCAAAAATGTTAGACGATCGTATATTTATGTTAGTATTCAATTGTCCAACGTGACTGTCTCCACGTGTTTCAGTGCAATTTTTCGGTGGATATAGCATTTTTGTATTATTATACTATTACTGGCTCATTGTCCATGAGAATAACATATCCAAACTTTTTCAACTAAGTTATAATTACCAATGTTCTGAACCTGACCCGCAATGCCATCTGGCCAAGGGGTTGGGTCCCAGGCTGACCAGTCCAACTGGTTAAACTGGTGGTTTCCCCGTAATCTATAAAGTTTCAAATCTTGCAAAAACAACCCTAATAAATAAATTAATTCCTTCAAGTTTGAAATCTTACAAACATAGCCCTACGACAGTTAAGGTTTTGATTTTTTCGGGCACATTCTGGTTGATTTCGGTGGCCAAAATTTAATCTGACACCATCACCTAATTTTTTTTTTTTTTTCAATTAAATGATATTTTGACATGAGTATCATTATGTTGGGTTGGCTTATAATATAATCTATTGGGCCCATTGAATACTTTACAAACCTAATATTCCAAGGAATGCCATAAATGGATTAATCACCGGGACTTCAATCTAACACAACCACCTAATTTTTTTTCCTTTTAATTAAATGATATTTTGACATGAGTATCATTTTATTGGATTGACTTATAATATAATCTTTGAGGCCTATTAAATATCTTATAAACCTAATATTCTAAGATAAGCCATAAATAGATTAATCACTAGGACAAGTGGGTAAGTCACAAATCAATTAATCCTCGAGATAGGTACGTCACACATGTGATATGTGACTTTAAGGTTTGAATTCAGGAAGTTAATAAAGGGAACAAGCTTTTTTGGCAGCTAATGCAATCCCTTGGAGTTATACTTATGTCATGGTTGATCCATTATGAAACATCTTTATTCATGTTCATGTGTTTATAAGATGGATAAGAAAAAATACTTTTATGTAATAACTTTATATATGTATTTTAAGATGAATTATAAAATAATGAAGACTTTAGTGTAAAAAGAGTATACACTAACAAATTTGAGAACTATCGAAACTTCTTTATTATTGTCTTAATTTGTATAATTCCACAATTAGTTAAAACACATATTCTAGTCAAACATTTTAATTTTAATAGTTATAGTCTTCATCAAATCAAACCAATTAACTTTGATGTGATTTTGAATTTTCGAAATTGTCTTCATTTTTTTTCCTCGAGTATGAACCTAAACCCAAGGCCTAAACTGTAATTTAGCACAATAATGCAGGTTTCGACCCAAGATTGATCCGCACAGTCGGGTTATCTCTTTTTCTGGGTCAAATCGTGTTCTGGTGTAAAACAACAAAGTAGTTGGGCTTAGGCTAATGGGCTTTTATTTTTCTGAATACACCATCGTTGACCATTCGAGAATTTTTCTCATGCATTTGTTCTGGCCCAAATTGACCGGCCCAGTTTTGATGCAAGTTAGAAAATTTTCTTAATTGGGTTGGAAGGAACATACAATAAGTCCTTAGCAAGGAGACATCTTCACATTAATTATACCAAAATGCCATGATACTCAAGTATGGTCTTTAAAAAATTAATATTAAGACCTCTCATTCTGTGATCGGATGATAAACTCTTTAGTCATTAGAGTTAGCTATATATAAGAGGTTTTGTGTTCGAGTCGCATAAAATGTACCTTTCAGATTTGTACAATTATCTTGGTTCATTAAGTTTGTAGGGTGTTCTGTAGTCCTGAGGATTATGTAGGCTCCAATGTGGGCCAATATACTTAGTTACCTAAAAAAAAAAAAAAAATAGTGTGACATAAAAAAAATATTATGAAGAATGAAGAAGGAAATGTTGCTAATAATCCTAAATAATTAGATTTTAATTTATTTGAAAATTTTTTGATCTAAATCAGTGAAGATTAAATTGAATTTAATGTTAAATATTGGTTTGATTTATACCGATAAAGATATTACTAAAAATACTAATTATGACTCATAAGACGAAGAGAAAGAAATAAAAAGTGGTGGTAGAAAAGGATAATAAAGAATAGGCCCAGCCCCTTAGTAATCTGGAACTCTACGCCGCAAGCGTAAAAATAGCAGAACTCGAAGCCCTCACACGCTTTCTCTCTCTTTCACTCTCTCTCTCTCTCTCGCTCTTTCTGCCAATCCGCCAATCCTCGACGGTGGCCCAGATTTAGAGGCTTTCTCTACTGTAAGAACCGCTTTTTTCTTCTAAAATAAATACATCTTCGTCGGTGCTCAATAAGAAACAGTCTCTCTTCTTCTCTCAATTTTTTCTTCCTTAACATTCTCCGAAACTACGAGATTCAAGAACAAAGCTCAGGTCAGTCATTTTCTTTTCTCTTAGCAAAACGGTTCTCATTTTGTTTGTTTCGGTTAAATTTTTCTGAACGATTAATAGAAGATAAAATAAGAGATAGTTAAAGAATATAAGCTAGTGTTCTCAATTTCATGCTTTGTTGTTGCTGTAAAGTGAAAATGTTTCAATTTCTAGTAAGCTGAAAGCTCTGTGATTTAATTTCTGTTTTGTTATTATTAATCTTTCGCCTTTGTTTGGTTGCCGAGAAGGCTGTGAAAAAAATTAAAAAAAAAATGAATGACCTCAAATGTGTAATTCTCTTTCTCATTCTATTTGTTGCATTACCTAAGAAAATCATGTAAGAGCCAATCGTTATTAGCTAGTTTTTTCCCTCACATTCTCTCTATGGCTGAACTTTGTGGTAAATGTATGCTTGTCCCGTGCATGAGTTGGAAAATGATTTTAGAGTGTAGGTGAAGTGAAATTTATGAAATTCAATGTATGATAGTAATGTTGCCAGATAATACACCTGTTTTTGGCACTTGCGGCTGAAGAGCAGTTATGAGTATAGGAAGTGTGCATTTCTCCTTTCTCCTTTCTCTGCAGTTTAGAGGGGGCATTTTTTTTCTCCTTTCTCATTGACTGGGGCAATAATGCTACATGGTATATTATTCGGTGTTTTTAATATGACTAGTTATTTATTTTTGTGTCGCTTATTATGCTATTTTTGTTCTCTAATACTTCTGTATAATGTTCATCCTAATTGTCATTAGGAACTCTCCTAAAGTTGGGCATTTCATACCCTTGAGATGGCTGTATGAATGAAGTGATGATTTAGTTATCAACGAACAGTATCTTTAAAAAAAAAAAAGTGTGTTGATTCCGGATTGTTATGGCCAAGGTCCATTTATGTGGTCTTTGTTTTACTAGGCTTGTAGAACACCTTCTTTCTTTGCCGTTTCTTTTGGAAACTATTATCCTCATGTATATATTGTGGTTCTTTTTGGTGGCATGGATTTGCACAAACAGAAGCAGTGTTTCTTAAGACTGATTTTGCATTGTGCATCCATTTTGAGGTAGTTCTTGGTTTAGAATCTGGTGTGCAAAATAAGTAGATGTTGATTATGTTTTAGGCACATGTGGTCAGGGTATTAACTTGAAGAGCATATGATGATTTGCCTCTATTCAATTCTCACTTTTTTGTCCTCGGTCTAGTATACATATCTTCCAGGCTATGTATATTAAGTTTGAATGACATTGTCGTTTATTTGGTAGCATGCTGTTTACCAATGAGTACAAGTTGCTATTCTTCGACTTCTCTTACAGCTTTATGTGAATTTATCTACACGGAAAAGATTTATTGAACTGTCAATTTTTTCTTATATGCTTAATATGGTTATTGAGAAGCTGTTGGGGCTAGTTTTATTTGGACAACTTATGTTGTACAGAATTACTTATTTGGCCTGGTTTGTCAATACATCAATTAATTTGTTTGTTTCTCATTCATTGTTCATATGTTACTTTCATTAACTTATTTAGATCAAGCTGTCTGATATGTAATATACCTGGGCAGGTGTATGTAATGCGTATAATGCAACAGTCTGTACTCGTTTTACAGGGTGAGTTTTGTTCTTCCATTGCCAATTTTGAAGAAAAAGTTGGTTTTGAATGGTATGTTACACATTTATGGCTGTAAATACATTTGCGAATAGCATACTGGAGTTGTGGTATTTTTAGTCTTTAGTCAAATTAGTAATCCGATTCTGGTCAACATTGATATTCTTTTATTTGTTCTTTAAATTGAATGTCTCATAGTTGTAGTAAAACACCATACACATAGAAGTGCTAATATACACCAATATTAGCCTTCTATTTGTCATGTCAAAGGCTGAGTACATGGATGTTTCCCCATTACAAGTGAATGATCAGAATGGAAATGATTCATGCTCTACACAAATTACATCAGAGCTGACAAATAAATTTGATGCTGAATGTGCACATACTGAACCACCCAAACTACAAGATTTGCCTGATTCTGAAGGATTGCAAAATAAGCCTCAAGAGATTAGCACTCCAGTAACCAACATTCATCCTAACCAGAGATTTTCTGGAGATGTGAGCCATAGTAGTGAAACAAATAAAGTTCCATGCTCTCAGCAAATTCCGTCAGAGCAGAAGAATGAATTTGCTGCTGAATGCATACCCAGTGAACAATTAGAAGTAGAGCCTTATTTAGATTCTGAAATCATATTTAAAGAACTCAAAAAAACCAGCACTGTCATGTGCAGTCCTGTTGATAATGAAAACTTGGGACTGGTTGCCGAAAATGTGAGCAACAGTATTCAGACTGATACTGAACAGACACTTCAGGTTGGTTCGGGACATGGGTGTAATGATTTCAATGCTGAATCTATACGTAGTGGACTATTGGAACAGAAACACCAGCTTGGTTCTGAAATCATGCTAAATGAACCAGCAGACACTGATGCCATGATAACCAATGGTGCTGTAAATGAAACTTTGCAATCGCTTGCGGAGGGTATCATCAAGATTTGTCACACTAAAGGTGTGAACATGAGTAGTCAGACTGGAGAAAATTCATGTTCTCAACAACCTACATCAGAAAAGGCACTGGAGCTGACCGCTGGAATCACAAGCTGTGAACAATCAGAAGTAATTTGTAAAGCTAGTTCTGAACTTCTGAACCAAAGTTCTTCTATTGAAAATTTAAAAGAACCTGATGATCCTATTAAGGTTCCTGTTGTTGAACATTTGGAACCATCTTGTGATGACATGGTTAAAAATTCTTGTCATTCAGAGACACCACCTAAAGATGTGGTAAAGAACTCTACTTGCTTGGGCCGTGAGGGCAAAAAAGCTTCAAAATCATTGAAGAAAAAATATATGTTAAGATCTTTAAGACGCAATGATAGAGTTCTTCGCTCAAGGTCACAAGAGAAACCTAAAGCTCCTGAGCCAAGTAATAACTTGGCTGATGTTAGTTCTAGTGGAGGGAAAAAAATAAAGCAGAAGAGAAGAGAGAAGAAGATAGTAGCTGATGAATATTCAAGAATCAGGACACATCTAAGATATTTATTGAACAGAATTAACTATGAGCGAAGTCTGATCTCTGCATATTCTGGGGAAGGCTGGAAAGGATTGAAGTAAGTGCATCATATTTCTACTTGCCTTATATATGTTTGGTAATTTTGTGTAAAAGCATCATCATGTTGGTGTCTCTCAAATGCTTTTATCTTGAACTTTAATCTGTGTCACTGGTCGATTAGTTCTTATGTTTTTTGATGCTTTCTTTGGCTGTGAAGCGGAAATAGGAAAAATTATAAGTATATTGATGTGACTATATATGTATAAATGCAGCTCTGGAATTCCATGTTCTCTTTTTTGTGCATTTATTTCTTTGGCAAATGAAGATAATATTAAGCTTTTGCTTGTGTCACTCTAGAGATGTAATGCTTTTGTGTAATGTTGGGTGTTGTCTTTAATGCTTTGATGAGTATAAATATAGTGCAAGTCCTAGGTTTTATATATAACCTTGTCACTTAGTGTTCTATTTGTGTAACATTGCAGTGTTGAAAAATTAAAGCCAGAGAAGGAACTTCAACGAGCCACATCTGAAATTCTTCGACGGAAATTGAAAATTAGAGATTTGTTTCAACGTCTTGATTCACTTTGTGCTGAAGGGCAGTTTCCAGAATCGTTATTTGATTCTGATGGACAGATTGACAGTGAAGATGTAGGAGTACTTTTTTCCTCAAATATTACATGCAGTGTTCGCTGATGAAGTTGTTATTTTGGATATAAACAATCTGTAACTAGGGGTTTTAAATTCTTACATGTGAAATCCTTTTATGGCAGATATTCTGTGCAAAATGTGGGTCCAAAGACTTGTCTACCGATAATGATATTATACTATGTGATGGTGCTTGTGATCGCGGATTCCACCAAGTCTGCCTGGAACCACCTTTGTTAAAAGAAGATAGTAATATCCTTATTACCTACTTGATAGTAGATATTGTTGGGTTATTTCCTTCTTGTCAATTTATACGTGTTTCTTTTTGCTTATAGTCCCTCCTGACGATGAGGGTTGGTTGTGCCCTGGATGTGATTGCAAAGTTGACTGCATTGACTTGGTCAATGAGTCACAAGGAACAAATCTTATTATCACTGACAACTGGGAGGTCAATGTCAAAACCTTCTGTCTCTACTGTATTGGTTAAATACTGATTCTACTGACTTCTCCAATCCTCATCTTGTTACTATATTTATCTGCAGAAGGTTTTTCCTGAAGCAGCCGCAGCTGGACCTAATCAAGATCCCAACTTTGGACTTCCTTCAGATGATTCTGATGATACTGATTATAATCCTGATGATCTACGAACTGATGAGAAGGATCAGGGAGATGAATCAAGTTCTGATGAATCTGACTTCACTGCTGCATCTGATGAATTGGAGCCCTTAGCTAATAACGAGTACTTGGGGCTTCCTTCTGATGATTCAGAGGATGATGACTATGATCCAGATGCTCCAGTACTTGATGAGAAAATTACACAGGAAATTTCAAGTTCTGATTTTACGTCTGATTCTGAGGATCTTGCTGCTGTTATTGAAGATAACAGGTGTTCTGGAAATGATAAAGGTGCCACATCTGTCAGTCCTCTCGGAGATTCTAATGGGCAGATGTCAAAATGTGGTGGAAACAAAGAGTCTTTAAATAATGAGCTGTTATCCATATTACAGGCGGGGCAAGATGGTTTAGGACCTGCTTCTGAGAAAAGAAGTATTGAAAGGTTGGACTACAAGAAGTTATATGATGTGAGTGTCACTGCAAATTACTTTTTAATGTCATGATTCTCTTCTCCTGTAACATGCACCTGCTGCTTTTTCTTTCTGGATATTATAGTATACATTCAACTCATGGTACCTTTTAGTAATTGTATGCACTGCTTCTAGCATTATGGATCTATTTTAGCTTTCCTGTTAAGTTTCCATATCCAAGGTTCTTTCACCTACTCGATGGAAGAACATATGCAATTTTTCTTGTAAAAATAAACCTCCTTTTTCCCATCTTACCTTGCCCTGATGAATATTTTTAATCACTTGCGATGCATTAAAAAATTTATATTAGCTATGTTATTCATGGTTGCAGAAACAATAAAATATGTTTTTGTATAATTTATTTTGCTTCTTGAAAGATCTACACCTTCTAAGAAATTTATACCTTTGTCAATGTTATCACTTTGGTCATGTTGTATTTTCCCATTCGGCAAGCCTGAAAACTTTGACTGTTTACCCATGCATGTGGGAGTGTGTGTAAGCGTGGACCAGTCTTGATTACTTAATGGTGGTTTAACATTCAAATATGGAATAAATTTAGTGTGGATTCTCAGAAATTTCTGTGTGATACTGTTTTTGAAGTTCAATGCATAGCTGATATATCTCATGTATTGTATAACACATCAATGATAATACAGATCTACTTTGTTGTAATCTTGTAGAATCAAACATTACTGTGTTTAATTTCATCTAACTGCATGTTGCATGTTGTGTGCAATATATATTTTGTCAATGCATAATCTACCTTTTCAGACAATTGTGCTGATTCTGTAGGACTTAGGATGCTTAAAATCTATTAATTCACATGATCTTATCAGTTTTAAATTACAGTGTTTCAGATATCAATGTGTTTTTGTCAAACTAATCCTGTTTGTTTATTTCATTTCTCTGTTCAGTTTTCTGATCTTTGTTTACCATTTCTGATATTGAAAGGAAACGTATGGAAATGTTTCTTCTGATTCAAGTGATGATATAGATTGGACTGATGATGATGGGCCAAGAAAAAGGACGAAGAGGACTGGAAAAGGTTCTCCAGTGTCACCAAATGGAAATGCTCCTATCCCTAGGAGTGGAAAGCAAAAAAGGGATATGAAACGAAACCAAAAAGAGACTGAACAATGTCCTAACAGAATAACTTGTCAAAAGGTGAACTCTGAAAATAGAAATACATCACCAGCTAAATCACATGAAGTTTCCTCGACACCTGGTTCTAGTGGTAAAGCTGAGAGGTCATCATATAGAAGATTGGGCGAAGATGTGACTCAGGTAATAGGTTTTTTGTATGTGTTTACTCCTTTAATTTTATGTTTTCTCTTCTTTTACACGGGTCATAGTAGCTTATAATATTTAATGTTGTTGAAATGTCAGGAATTTTCCTGTTGCAATTTGTATGGAAGCGGTGAAGGTTTAGTAGATTCTCCCAATAGCTTGTGGTCAAAAGGCAGAAACTTACTATAGAATAGAATAGAAAAGCAGAAACTTACTGATATAGAATAGAATAGAAAAGCAGAAACTTACTGATATAGAATAGAATAGAAAAGCAGAAACTTACTGATATAGAATAGAATAGAAAAGAAGAAACTTACTAAGATCATGTAGAACTGAAAAGTATATTTGAACTAGAAATCGGGTCAATAGCAGCTACTGATCTAGTGGCCAATAAACAGTTTGCTTTATTGCAGAACTTGTTGCAGTATATGTTTCCTTCATGTCTTTCAAACAATTCCCCAAATTTAGTGCAAAACTTCTTGTTGGTATTTTTCTTAAAGCTGCTCAATAAACATTGGTTAATGTCTGTTTTGTACTCCTGCAAGTTCTTCCTAGTTTATGTGACAACTTATTCACCTTTTCGGANAAACTATATACATTCACATATATATACAAAACATAATGCCTTGGAACCGACGACACGATTGGTTCCTAGGGCATACACTAACAACAGCTTGGTGACTTGATGTATTTTCTTACGATTGAAGTAGCCCAATCAAAAAATTGTTTTTTCTTATCTCAATGGAAATACATTCTTGATTTGTTAAAATGAAACATGTATGCTTGGATTTAAGCCTGTGAATACCCCTGTTGAACAAAATCATAAGTTGCTTCATTTTTTGGATGCAACTTCTACTAATAAGGCAAGGTATCAAAGACTTGCGGGAAAATTGAGTTATTTGTCCACACGAGGCCAGATATTACTTATGTAGTATGTGTAGTGAGCTAGTTTATGCATGATCCTCTTAAACCTCACACATGGATGTAGTGGAACATATATTGAGGTATTTGAAGTCTACTCCAAGTAAAGGGTTGCTTTTCACCAAACATAATCATTTGAAGGTAGAAGGTTACACTGATGCAGATTGGGCTGCTTCAACTAATAATAGAAGATCTACTTTAGGATACTTTACTTTTGTAGGGGAAAAACTTGTGACTTGGAGGAGTAAAAAGTAATTGATAGTGGCAAGGTCAAGTGCAGAAGTTGAGTACAGACGCATGGCTTTTGGAGTGTGTGAGTTACTATAGTTAGGGAACTTGCTAAGGGATTTAGGGGTTGACTCTCAGGATGTAATGAAGTTGTATTGTGATAACCCTTCAGCTATAGAGATTGCCTACAATCCAGTTCAACACGATCGAAAAAAGCATATAGGAATTGATAGACACTTCATTAAAGAAAAAACTTGACGCTGGGATCATTATATTTCCTTTTGTGAAGTCTGAAGACCAATTAGCCGATGTTCTTACCAAAGCCATAGCCAGCAGTGTTTTTGATGACTATTTAGACAAGTTAGGCATGTGTGATATCCATGCTCCAACTTGCGGGGGAGTGCTAGAATTAAGGTATAATAACCTATAATTAAGAGTTTGATATGATCAATATTCTAATAAATACCATTACCTTTATTTCTCTCTTAATTATAGGATATTTCCTATAATATTCTGTAATTACTTTTTTTATTCTTTCCTTGTAGATGTTCCTTGTATGTACTATATATATATATATATGATAGAATTACAATGAAAGAAATATATCAGAAAATTGTTCCACAATTGTGTTCTTTGAGAATAGTATCCCCTTAACATTAAGGCATTTATTATTGATTTATTAATCCTATGAAGTAAGAAGCATATTCCACCCTAGGCAAACATAGTCACCATTCTTATCAAGACCATAAAGATAAAACACATGATTTACTTATATAGATAAATCTATAATATGATTCACAAAGATAAAACCGGAAGTAAAATCCTTGCAAAGTTTACGACTAAAATAATAGAAATCTATTAAGCTAACAAAAGAAAAAATGATTTGTATGAAGTTGATAGGGTGAGAAGAATAATGGCAGCATTGACAGAGATAGAGGCCCATGAAGTATTACAATTATTTTGTTTCAAAATTTTCTTCATTTGTGCCAATGGGTTCTATTGTAGGCATTTAGATTTTCCACAAGATCCGAGTAGTAAAAGTTAGGATTGCATATGGTAGTTTCATTGACAAGGTCGCAACAAATAATTGCTAAACCTTCGCTGTCACTTGGCCTATTTTTCGATAACTCCATTTTGCCGAAGCAGCTCCACAGCTTTTCAAGTGTAGATAAGCAGCTATATTTTTGGCTCGTCTTCCTTAATTTCCAGTTTTGATTTACTCTCCTTTGATTTTCTTTCGCTTAGTTAACTTCATTTTCATTCTTTCCTTTCACATCCCTCGAACAATTTGGTGCAGAGCTCTTGAAATGAGGTAGATAACTGAGTGTTGAACTAATTTGTTGGTCTTGCAGTGTAATTGCTCAAAGACCAAGAAATTCATTAAATAAACTCTAAACAAAACTTCTATTCCAATAACTATTTTCAGTTTCTCATTTTTTAATCTAATATCAAATAAAATGAAGGCATATGTATAACATTGATGCAACATGGAATGATTACTGGAATCATGCATCCTGAAATCATGCTCATCATAGATAATCCGCAGAGACATCAGTAATTGATTCTATTACGATTCATTGTAATTATAACTTTGATCATATTTCCTTAATTTGTTGATTCTCACTTGTATAAATACATGATTGTAATACAATGAAAGATATACAATTATACAGATTCAATTGAGTCTTTTTCTTCTATTCTAGCATTCTTTAGCAACATAGTTTGCTTCTTTTGCCCTTTTTGTCTAGATTCTGACATGGTATCAAAGCAAGCCTGTTAATCTTTCTTCCGCCCAGCAAATCCTCTCTATCCAGTCTTTCCATATTCTATGAAACAAGGCACTTGGCTTCAATTTCTTCTCATCTAGTAAATCCCTAGCAAGTCCCCTCTAGCCAATTTACCAGAACCTGGAAACAAACAAACACTTGAGTCAGTTTACATTTACCCAAATTCTAGAATTAAAATCACCAAGTTTTAGCCAAAATCTTCCCTTATGGATTCAAAAGACAACAGCCAAATCACAACTCTACCAACATCAAACCAATCCACACAACAAAACCAAGATCAGAATTCTGGATCGGGTCCAAATTATGGACAAATCCAACATGGCCCAAACCCATTTGGGTTCATGGGTCAGGGACCCAACCTGACAGATCAAAATCCCTACTCGATATTCCAAATTGTTCCAAACAACTCTAATCAGCCAGAACCCGATGACCCTCTCTACTCACTGGTGTTCGACGGGTCTGAACTAGTGTTTGTAAAGCAACACCTTACCTGACTCCAAAAATTATGCCACATGGGCACGTGACTTCTGGCGGTCACTGATCATGAAGGACAAAGAAAGGTTCATCAATGGAACTTCCCAAACCAATTAAGCCACATCTCCTCAAGCACTAAGTACGCCGTAACACTTTTGTCTGAGCATGGATCAGTAACTCCTTGACCCAAGAGATTTTTGCCGGACTAGCATAGACAGAGAATGCCCAAAAGATGTGGGCAAACATAAAGGAGATGTACGACCAACTTGATTTGACCAAGTTATTCATTTTACAACAAACTCTTGCTGAAATCAAACAAAATAACCTTCCAATGACATCTTACTTTAACTGCTTATCGGCAGTGTGGAATGAATTGGATGCTGTTGAAGAGCCCCTTGAAGGGCCAACAACAATCCTTCAACAAATCAAGGGAGGGAAGGATCAAGACAGATTGATCCATTTTTTTATGGGATTAAATGACTGCTATCTTCCTTTTAGGACTCAGATGCTGGCGACAATGCCGGTGCTATCGCTCTATCAAACTTACCAACTAGCTGTGTAAGATGAAAGCCAGCGCATGAACTCACATGATGGCCTCACTGGTGGTACCACTGTATTCACATTCACACAAAAAAGGTTTCTCTGAAGGAGTGAAAAGTGAAATGGGAGATGCAAATGGGTTTCATGAGTAGCGCCTAGGGCATCCACAAAATCAGATAATGGTTTTATATGGGGCCAAATCTGGTTTGAACGGCTTAGATTCTTTTATGCAATCCAACAACTCTAATGGTTCCAAGCCCAGTTTGTTTTTGGATGCATCACATGGGTCAGGTTCATCCACATCAAATAGGCCAACTTATTTCACATCTAATGGCCCATATCACAATAATGCGTCTAATTCCTTAGGGTCCATTAAATCTGGAAAAAGTGCACACTATTGTGATTACTGTAAAAGAAAAAATCACAATCGTAACACTTGTTGGAAATTTCATGGACGTCCACCCAATCAGAAATCTAGATCTACAGTAAATCAGGCTAACACAATACCCCTTTGGGAAATGGGATTTCAGCACCCACGATCAATCCTGAGCAATACCAACAGTTACTCTAGATGATCAATCAGCTTCCCAAAGCTAATATGACATCCTATGCAAATACATCTTTTTGTTTAAATTTTAGTAAAGATGATATCTGAATAATTGACTCAAGGGCTAGTGACCACATCATTTACAATCCCAATTTTTTGTCCCACACACCTAGAAAATCATCTACATCTGTTTGTATCCCATTGGAAGCATAGCTCCTGCCACCTAAATAGGATCCGTTCAACTTACCAACAATGTTCTAAAAACCGGACTGGAACTCCAGATTTTTTATGAAACTAAAATCCATCAAACAAACCCTGCAATAATAATAAAACCATCAAAGTTTGATAGTTAATGTTTACAAATTCAGTCCTCAAGTCTAAAGTTTCAAACATCATCAAAGGCATTACAAAGTAATATCAAATATGAATCCACCAACCAACTAACAAACAAAATTACAAAATTACAAAATACCAATCCACCAACCAACATACAAAATTACACAATATCAATCCATTCCACAAACCAAACCACCATCCATTAGCAGCAGCAACAAGTGGAAAGTGAAAAGTGAAAACCCAACCCAACCACAAACAAATTCAACAGCAGCTCACGGTAAGTGAAGGGAAAAAGGAGAAACTAAACAGATGCAATCTGCCAGTAGCCATGGAACACATCAACCATCACAACATAAAAAGAAAACCAATCCCCACAGAAGCAAAAATCGAACTGCTGTCATCTGCCAATAGTCAAGGGACTCACTACCCACCACAATAGAAAAAAACCAGACTCCTAATTCATAGCATAAATTTAAAACAAAAACTTACTTTGTCCTTCCAATGATCTTCAATGGTTCAACCCATCCTAAATTGATTATCCACATTATCATCATTATCATCACCATCAGCTACAAATTTAGCAAAAATTAAAAACATAAGTTAAAACTTATAATGTACATTGTTTTTTTTATATTATAATTTAAAATAGCTACCAAGTTAGTTAAAAGTTGGAAAACAACCTTGTGAACCACCTGCTGAATCATAATAGGGTTGATCACCAACACCGATGGGAATAGATCCTTCTTCATAAAGTGCTTGCTCCAATTCATCTAAATTGAATTCATCACCCTCATGTTCATCATCAGCAATCCAAAAGTCTGTTATGTCAATGCTTTTATAATCGATAGGATCACAACTACTTTTCTTGTAACACATCCTGAAAGACACGCCAAATAAAAATATCAATAAAAATATTAAAATTGCCAATGCTTTATACCTATTTTTTCAAACGCAAGTTATAATGGATAAAAACAAGATCATTCAACCGTTGATGCTCCAATCTATTCCTTCTTTTTGAATGGATGTGTTCGAAAACACTCCAATTTTGTTCACATCCCAAAGAGGCTGAAGTTTGGCTCAGAATTTTAATTGCAAACTTCTGTAACTATGGAGTACTATACCCATATGTCCTCCACCATTCATCTAATTGAAAGTTAAAGTGTTAACCATATGAAATAATGAACTAAACATAAATTCTTAACTTAGAAATTGGACTTAAAATTGAGAAATTTAATAAGTATCACATACCAGGTCATGTGGTTTTGCAAGTTTGAAAGGCAAGCTCACGAGAAAAGCTTTCCTCGCGGTCTCAATATATTCTACTTTCGTCCACTAACTTTGTCTTGTTCAACTTGAATGCACTTGCTTTATTGTCGACAACATCAAGGAAACCACACATAACCTCTGGTTTCTTGCAGAAAATTGCACGGTCATACATAAAAGCTGGATTCAAATAATAAGCAGTAGCATGAATGTCGTGGCGCAAAAGCCTATCCCACCGCAGCTTAATAGTTTTGGTATAAGGCTTGTACAATGTCTTTTTCTTTTTAAAGAACTTCTTGATCGCTTTTTTGGCTCTATACATGCCATCATACACATATCCTATTATAGGTCTCTCATCTGAGTCTACTGTCCGCAACAAACACATCAAAGGAGCCACAATTTTGGAAACATAACCCATGTCATCCCAAAATTCATTATCTAGAATTATGGGTATAACATTCTTCCTTTTACTACTTCTAGCATATCGAGAGTCCACAAAAAACCTATCTGTCACCATAGCTTGCAAGTCATGTTTGTGCTCAAGACTTCTTAATGCAATGAAAGTAGTAGCAAACCGAGTTGCACCCGGTTGTATGATTTCTTTCCAACCTTGTTCAAGTGATACATACATAATAGATGTTAGTAAATTATTACAAAATGTTTATTATGTAATAAATTGACAAAAACAGGAGTTAAAGGTTTATAAGCTATTACCTCTCTTTTCCTCAACCAAGCTATCAAAATTGTGTGATTATACACAAACATGGTTACTTCAGAAGCACATTTTGCAAGATGCACTATGTGGTCCAACTCAGATATATCTTTCAAAATTAATTTTATGCAATGTGCTGCACAGGGCGACCAAGTAATATTCTCATACTTCTTAGACAACATTCTTCCAACAGCTTTAAAATTTGCTCCATTATCCATGACAACATGGACAATATTGTTTGGTCCAACCCATAAAGCCATTTCCTCAAATAACTTGAACAATGTAAAGGCATTGTAACACCTACTCTCTACTACTATTCTTATAGTTCATACTATGTAAATTATAGATATACATAGCGTATGGAAAATAGTGGGCTCAAATTTTTTCTTTACTCAATAAAATATAATTCTTTACAAATACAAAATACTATGTATTAAAAACTTTCTACTTAATACAAAATATCATAACTGGTGGACAGTAGTGCCAATACTCTCCGCTCCTCAACGTTCATCCGACCGCTGCTCCTATTTCCTGCAAAACAGGGAAGAACAATAGGGTGAGCACAACAATGCTCAGTAAGTAAATCCTTTACTACCTGTCCCCGCAACTCACTCTTTGGTTCTTTCCTTACTCTATCGTTCTTCTATTTCTAATTCTCACTGTTTTTCTCTTTCTTTCTAATACTTTTATTCTCCTTTAACTCTGTTTTGCTCTTTTTATTCTTTCTTTCTCTCTGTTCTTCGTCTCTTATTCTTACTCACCATGAAGGAAAATCATGGTTCTCTCTTGTTCTTATCATACTCACCATGAAGGAAAATCATGGTTCTCTCTCTTATTCTCATCATACTCTCACTAACCATGGAAGAAATCATGGTGCATGCATGTATGAGATATACATGAAAATAATGCAAAAGAACTACATGTTTCTTTCTTCTACTCTCTATTCTTACTAGCTCAAACTCTCTCATTCTTTCTCATACTCTTTCTCTTTCTATCTCATTCTTTCTCAAACTTTCTCATTCTTTCTCATTCTCTCTATTATCTCATTCTCATTTCTCATAATTCATTTCTACTAACTCACTTTTTGAATGTCACGACCCCATCTTACCGGAGGCACGGCCGGGACTTCTCCCACTCTACGTGACTTCTACTGATTCTCTTTCTGTCTCTCTTTCTCATAACACTTTTCTGTTAACTTTCTACTGTAGGTCACGGCCTCATCTTACTGGAGGCACGGCTGGGTACTCATCCCATTCTTCGTAACCCTACTCATTGTCTCTCTTTATTCTTTCTCATGTTTGCTCATTCTTCCTCACTTGCATGTCATGGCCTCATCTTACCAGAGGCACGGCTGGGTGGAGATCACAAAGCACCAACCCACTCTTTGTGACTTCTACTCATTTTCTGCCGATCGGACTCGGTCATTCATGGATTCGGAACCTTTGGCCACGTGAGTGTATTCTCTCTCTCTCTGAATGTCACGGCCCCATCTAACCGGAGGCACGGCTGGAACCTCATGTTCCACTCTTCGTGATGGTCACGGCTGGGGATCACAAAGCACCCACTCTCGTGACTTTACTCATCACTCACGGGTTCCCCATCGCACAACCTACTCTATTCTCTTCTTTTACTCTTAGAGTAGTTTATTCACAAAGATCTCTACTCTTGCTCGAGCTAATACTCATCTCTTTCTCAAGCTAGTACTCATAGTATAGCTTAACTCTTAGAGTAGTCTATTCGCAAAGTTCTCTACTCTTTCTCAAGCTATTACTCATAGTGTAGCTTATACTCAAAATTCTCTACTCTTTCTCAAGCTATTACTCATAGTGTAACTTATACTCAAAATTCTCTACTCTTTCTCAGGCTACTTCTCAAATGCACAACTAACGCATATGGATGGTTTATGCTCATTAATGCACTTATGAAAAGCACAAATACAATGTTGCATCAAAGACAGTCATTCTGTGCAGGTCACACTCAAGAAGGCATAACTTGAGTTATACACATCGGATTGCTACTATTTTTGTCTCGTTTTAAAGCTTAGAGACAGGGCTATAACTTTTATGTTTTGGTCTAAACCCATTTCAATCTGTAAGATGCCCAAATATCACTCAGAAAGTCATGACTGTGACAGGGCAGTTTAGTAACATGTTTTCATTTAGGCATTTC